CGTGTCTGCTAGGGTTCCAGAGAAACACCGTCTCAACAGGTTTCAGAGAGACACCATCTCCTCAGCCCCAGCTTCCTGCCTCCCGCGCAGGGTTCTTCACCCCGATTCGGGCCCGAACTTTTTCGAGATATTTCCGTTTTGCCCGAAAGGAAAATTAGTGCGTCCCGGAGCATTCCGAACGGATTTTGGGCCTTTTAGAGCATTTTTTCGGGGACCCCACCGAAGCCTTTTGAAAGCTTTTTCGGAGAAAACCGAACGATATGTCAGCGTAAATTTGCATGTTTTCGGGCGCAGACGGGCCTGGAAACCGGGCTTGCCGTATAAGGCCCGCTTGGTCACCAGTAAAACAACAAGTACAAATGCCAAATACAGAAGTACGGAGGGCCCGATGCCAACCCCGGATATCACACCAGGACGAGACAGTCCGAGTTTGGCCATTCCAGCACAGAATGCAGTCAGAGTCAGACAACAGATACCAACTAAGCTTTATTAAGACAGTTTACAGAAAATAGACGACTAGAAAGACTAGAGAAAGTCGAGGTCCAAATCGCTTGACGAGTGATGTGAGATTGCCTTTATCTTTGGTTTTGCCTACAATAGGAAGCCGTCTCTTATATATGAGAAGACAACAACAACGGCGACGCGAAGATCGACATTGCGGGCCGACGGCATCCATGCAAGTAAGTGAAGCGCGCGGGCACCGCGCGGGTGGTTGGGTTGGTTCGGCCTTGAGTAGAGGCACCTGAACAGCGGGTTCTGTTGCTTGTCGGTGGGCGGGGTGAATTCTAGTTGGGTTCGCGAGGTCCGTAGGTCAGTAGGAAAGGTGGTTTTATCTCGGCCTCCCGCAGTTGGCGAGGCTTTAGCTGGGAGTCCGTTTTGCCGGGAGTAGCTCTTGGTTGACAAGTTGTTGTGAGGGGCTTGGTCGGCGCCCTTTCAGGGTATTTCCACTAGGCCGCACACTAACATTAAGTTCAAAAAATCTCACACCTGGCTCAGCAAATCATGCAAGCAATAAGAAACTAGTTAAATACATTAATCGAAAGTAAAAGTTCTTTAAGAAAATCGCGTAAAGGGGCTCCGTACGCGAAAAGCCGAAGGGCCCAGTGGAAACGCCTCGGACACTAAGTCCGCCTTAGTGGCACACTAGTTATCAGGGCCTCAGACCTGCTGATAACTTTCAAAGTGGACATTAACTTCCGAGCGGGAAAATTCATAGTCAGCCATTTTCCTTCTTCATGGCCCTACGTTGGCTTTTGTATTTTCCTTTATCCACAGCCGCAAATAGCCCGCTAACCAGTGGAATTCACAGCAGGACCGGTCGAATTGGCCACATTCCAGCAATTTGCCGACCAAACTGTAATGATTTGCGCATTAAATTACACCCACTCTTACTATAACAATGGTTTGGTGCCTTTATAGCAACCTGTCGTATGGTTCCGGGGCGCTTAGTGGAAACACCTGTCCACTGCCACACACTAAGTCCACGTTAAAGATAATGTCCAAAAGTTAGTGTGCGGCCAAGTGGAAATACCCTGTTTGTCTTGAGTTCGCCTGATTTACCTGGTATCCTCGCGAGTCGCCAGATAGCCCGGTGCAGGATACTTACCAACATAACAGCTACCCTACGTGCGAAGGCGTAAAGAACAACGAGCAAAACAGGCATACAGGATGGCGTCAAGAAATCTGCAAGCAAACGAAAGTTGAAGTCAAGACGCGTGGACGGATCCGGAGTCTTCGGACGTGTGGACGGGCTACAGCTACATCATAAAGCCGCCGCGGCGGTCCGCTAAGTGCGGCACAGAATGCATGACAAGCGGCTGCGGAAGGCAGCGCGCTTAGGAAGCCCGCCGCGGCGGCACGCCGAACTGAAGGCGCTGGATGTAGGAGTATATAGAGAGCGGCCGCGGAAGGCGGTGCGCTTGTAGAAACGCCGCTGCGGCGGTCCGCTAAGTGCGGCACAAATGCATGACAAGCGGCTGCGGAAGGCAGTGCGCTTAGGAAGCCCGCCGCGGCGGCACGCCGAATTGAAGGCGTTGATTTAGGAGCATATAGACAGCGGCCGTGGAAGGCGGTGCACTTGTAGAAAAGCTGCTGTGGCGGTCTGCTAAGTGCGGCACAAATGCATGACAAGCGGCTGCGGAAGGCAGTGCGCTTAGGAAGCCCGCTGCTGCGGCACACCGAAACTGAAGGCGTTGATTTAGGAGCATATAGAGAGCGGCCGCGGAAGGCGGTGCGCTTGTAGAAACGCCGCTGCGGCGGTCCGCTAAGTGCGGCACAAATGCATGACAAGCGGCTGCGGAAGGCAGTGCGCTTAGGAAGCCCGCCGCGGCGGCACGCCGAATTGAAGGCGTTGATTTAGGAGCATATAGACAGCGGCCGCGGAAGGCGGTGCGCTTGTAGAAAAGCTGCTGTGGCGGTCTGCTAAGTGCGGCACAAATGCATGACAAGCGGCTGCGGAAGGCAGTGCGCTTAGGAAGCCCGCTGCTGCGGCACACCGAAACTGAAGGCGTTGATTTAGGAGCATTTAGACAGCGGCCGCGGAAGGCGGTGCGCTTGTAGAAAAGCCGCTGCGGCGGTCCGCTAAGTGCGGCATGAAGGATGCTATGAAGTGGGTGCCTGAACGCCTGGCAAGGATGCTGGAACGTATATGGTCTCACCGCAACTCTATTGTTCCCTTTGGCCGTAAGTATACTTCATCACTTGTCTCGTTGGAAGTGCGAGGTAGGATGGTGCTTATAGGCGATTTGGCAGCCCTTGAGCCCTCAGCTCGTACTAGGGTGGTTTGCAGGTACGGGGAACGCACCCACGACCATGTAACAATTGAAGGCGTTGGGATTTAGGAACATATCGACAGCGGCCGCGGAAGGCGGTGCACCTGTAGAAAAGCTGCTGTGGTGGTCCGCTAAGGGCGTCACAAAATGCATGACAAACGGCTGCAGAAGGCAGTGCGCTTAGGGAGCCCGCCGTGGCGGCACGCCGAAACTGAAGGCGTTGATTTAGGAGCATTTAGACAGCAGCCGCGGAGGGCGGTGCGCTTGTAGAAAAGCCGCTGCGGCGGTCCGATAGTGCGGCACAAATGCATGACAAGAGGCTGCAGAAGGCAGCGCACTTAGGAAGCCCGCCGAGGCGGCACACCGAACTGACGACTTTGTGATTTAAGAGTGTGTAGATGGCGACCACGGAAGGCGGCCCGCTTGTAGAAAAGCTGCTGCGGCAGTCCTCGGAGTGCGGCACAAAAATGCATGACAAGCAACTGCGGAAAGCAGCACGATTAAGAAGCCTGCCGCGGTGGCACGCCGAACTGAAGGCGTTGTGACCTAGGAGGATATAGATAGCGACCGCGGAAGGCGGTGCGCTTGTAGGAAACTGCTGGGGTGGTCCGCAAAGCGCGGCACAAAATGCATGACGAGCGGCGGTGAAAGGCAACACGATTACGAAGGTGTTTGGTATGGGAACTTGTAGACAGCGACCACAGAAGGCATTGCGCTTGTAGCAAACCACGGCGGTGGTCCGCTGAGTTCGGTTCACAAGAGGCTGCAGGAGGTAGCGTTCTTGAGTAACCCGCAGTGATGGCTTGCCGGATTACAGGCGTGGCGATGTAGGAGTATGTCAACAACGATCACAGAAGGCGGCGCACTTGTAGAAGGGAGACGGGGAGGGACACGTCTCAGACACGAGACCAAGAGTACCAGACACGAGGCGGGGCACAGAACGAGCCACAGCTATTAGAAGGCCGTTACTGTTACCCATAAAACCCCATAAAGGGTCGACCCACCGATGGAGACCATAAGGGTAGTTGCCCAAGGAAGGCATGGGAAAGCCAGAAATAAACACGGTAATCGTACCAAACACCCTTGCCTGGGAATGTTTTTCAGCTAGGCGGCTGCCGAAGGCATTAGCATCTTTCTGTATGAGGAGGGGCGAAGGCCGATTCGAACGTCATTGATTGGCCCATCAGGAAACCAGAAGCAAGGATGCCGTGAGGGGAGAAGGGCGCTCCAAAAAGGTCAAGGCATGCCCAGGCGCAGGCTACGGAAGTACCAGAGAGGGCCGCTAGACTGCCGGGGCCAGTCAAGGTTACCCTGTTAAATTGCAAAGCACGGCCATGGGAGCGGAGGAAAATTGGCCGAGAACTACCGGAGCAGTCAGCTTCCCCGAGCAGTGGGGAATCGGCGAGTGGCAGTGACGAAAATACGTAACCCGGGCGGAGGACTAGGGCCAGGAGGGCGGAATCGGAGGACATACACCAGGCTAGAGCCGAAGGGTCATCCGCTGCCGGCAGACAAGCAGAAAGGGACATCCGGTCCGAATCCAGGGGCCCGGTCGGGCAACAAGTGGATTGGCGAGCCTTGGGGAAAGACGTTGGCTGCAAAACACGGAGACAAGGCCACGTCACTCAGAGGCACGTTCGAGCCCAACGCGGCCTCAGACCCAGGAGCGATAGTGACATTACGAATCGAAGAATTTTGGGGCTCCGAGGATGGCCGTCAACTTTGGTGGGGCGGCGCAAAGAACTTATGGCGATCGGTTTGGTGGACGCGCTGGAACAGTTGGTTCTAGCGAGTAGGGCAGGATCTCTGTGATGGATGCACGAATCGCTGGAGGCGAGGCTACGATGTGGACTGACACCCCTTATCGAAGCGATAGCAGACCAACTGGCGGCAGCCTTCCGAACAGCAGCGGGAACCTATCAGGGTGTGAGTCCAGTTTTTGGGGGAAAGTGTCCAGTTCCCCAATTGATGACTACCACATGTCAGAGGAGCAATGCGGGGCCAACTTAGGTGACTTATAACGGGTGTCTGGGTGCGCCACCCGGGGGTGGTCGGGGGGACGCGGAGACGAGAGTGAGAGAGTTGGAGATACGAAATGGGGAGAGTTTACGGTGGGAGCAGGAGTAAGGCGAGGCAGAGAGGGGGGCGCGCGGAGCGCGGGTGGCCGGGGTGTTTTAGGTTGGCAGGGGGATGGAGGGTGGGACGCCGTGCATGGTGCGTGGGGCTCGCTTAGGCTGAGAGCGTTACAAAGGTTGTAAGTGAGCCCTTCGTATCATACGGATGCTCGCCCCAACTAATCCGGCCCTTACGGTGGCGGGCTCTTTGACTTCAGAAATGCCAAATACAGAAGTACGGAGGGCCCGATGCCAACCCCGGATATCACACCAGGACGAGACAGTCCGAGTTTGGCCATTCCAGCACAGAATGCAGAGTCAGACAACAGATACCAACTAAGCTTTATTAAGACAGGTTACAGAAAATAGACGACTAGAAAGACTAGAGAAAGTCGAGGTCGCCCTCCCTCCCCACCCTTGTGAGACAGGACCAAACACACACAGACTTATCACTCATCATCACTCTCCGAAACCACCAGCCCCGTCCCAGTCCCGCCGGCCAGGAGGCGGGCGAGATGCCTAGTAGGATCCAGATAGCGGTGCAGGGTACCCAGAGAGTGGATGTGCGTGGAGCGCATGAGATCCTCATCGGAGACCCCCTGAGACTGGGCATGCTGCAAAGCACCCCGACGAAAACTGTGCACCGTCTCTCCACCGTATAGCCCAGCAGCGGTAAGATGAGTGACGAGGCGATATTCCAGGGCCTCGGTCGTCATCGGCGCCTCCTGATATGCGCGGCCACTGCACTCCGCCGGACGGAAAAGATATTGGGTGATAGGGGCACCGGCCCCCGTACACGTGCTCATGTACACTGCGAGAACTCGCAGCGTGCAGATGAGGGGATCACGATCTGGACGCAACATCGTTGCAGGAGCACGCTGACCCTTGTACGTCTTGGTATTTAATTCTTCTATGCATAGGACAGTGTCGGGAGAAACACTCCCGTCGGGCGCTGGTAGGGGTAACGGCCAGCCCTGGTACTCGGTACGGCCATGCACCATATCCCTGAAATCACTTAACACCAGCTTGCCGACATCATGACCGCGCTGATAAGTATGCCACATTAAAGCAAATAGAGACAAGTCCCGAAGCACCAAACTGCGAGCAAACAAATGCTCTTCGTCGCCGGACGCAATCCACAGATGGCAGGACAGGCGACGAAACTTCTCTGCAGTCAAGGGGATGGCGCCTCGCTCCACATAACCGGCGTCACTAAGGTCCCGTCCGTAGCCCTTGACATAGCCTCGCACCAATGAGCTGTCGCAGGGATTCCCGCGGCATTGAGAGGCGTCATAGTCCCCTTCCCGGCCCAGCTGCTTAAAGGCAGTCGCAAGGCTCGAGATAACCCCTTTTACAGCACTGGCGCTGGGACACCGGTCTGCCTGCAGACGCCCAGGGTACCGAGGGAACCACCATTCCACCAGATACGAAACAATGGACATAGGATCGCAGGTGAGCAAGGTGAGCCCGAGAGACTGGCGCTGCAACCAGCCATGAAATTCTCGCGCAGCACTTTGAACCCGCCGCCAGCTCTCAGAGACCCACTGACGTTGGTGCACCTGGTGGATGGAGAGCAAGGCGGCTGTGAGCGGCGGCCGCACTGACACGTCCCCGGTAAACTCAGAGTAATACAGAGCCGTGACAGGGTCCAAAGGCGGCAGTGCAGACCTCGGGAGACGGATAGGGCCCGCAGCAAGCAGAGGCATGGCAGGGAGAGAATTACCAGGAAAGACCTGCGGTGATAGTATAGCCGAGGCGTAGGACGCACGAAGCGGTCGGACATCCATCGACAAGTCGGGTGTCGGCTTCCTCGAAGCCGGAAAAAGGGCGGGCCCCCCCTGCATCCGTACAGGCCGGTAGCTAGCACGGCACGTGTGACAATTGATGGGTAGTGTCACTGCGGTGGGAGATGTGCTTTGTTGCAGCAGTACTGATGGTATGGGAGCTAAGCTTGCACCGGCGGAATCGTCAGCACCGCCTGCGGGCTCCACGCGAATCGCATCCATCCCGGGTGCATGCCGCATGGACAGTGCGGCAGACCGCAAGTCGGAATGCCCGTGCGGGCAAATTGGTAACGCAAGCTGAGTGAAGTTCGGTGCTGTCTGTGATGTTTATCCCCGAAGCGCCAGCGGCCTAAGCAATCCGCCCCACAGCCCCGAGCTTCATCGCGGCACACCACAAGTCTTCGGAGGCCCCGTGCATTGGCCAAAGTAAATGTACAAACAAGCAGCTTGTGTATTTCATATAGAAATGTAAGAAATGAAAGCAAATTATGTTGGCCTGCTGGTGGCAAGTCGGATTGCCCATGCCGGCAAATGGTAACACAAGCTGGGTGTTCGAGTTATCATACGCCGTCATCTCAGAATTTCATTATGAGATACGCGGCAGCTTTCGGGATGAAATTTAGCGCGAGAGGCGTTGATGTGACTTTTGAGGTCGGTGAATGGAGGCAGCTAAACTTGTTTGTGCTCATACGGTCTTTGTTAGCTACATGCGAGATACTTTGCAATAGAGAATGCTGTATAGTACCGATAACGCGTTTCAGCCAGGCGAGATATTATGTTTGGTCTGTCACACACACACACACACACACACACACACACACACACACACACACAGACACACACACACACACACACACACAGACACACACACACACACACACAGACACACAGACACACACACACACACAGACACACAGACACA